TTAATGGGCAGGTAACGAGAAGTATTACGGCAGACATTTAAAGAGATATTTCAGAAGACCCGCTAAGTTTCATTCCAGCAAAAAAGAAAGATTCTAGGGGAAGGATGGACTACCAAGCATAACTAAGGAATTTAGTAATGTCAACTGGAAGTTAAAAGCAGAAATTCTGTGAAAAGCACTGGCTCATCAGAAGACTGGGCAGAGTATAAAAATGGCAAAGAATGACTTAAAAATTCTAGAACTTCTCTTTTGGAAAAAAAAAAGAGTTTTAATAAGTATTTAAAAAGGGAAAACAAATAAAGTGAGCATTAGTCCACAGGTGACTAAGAATGTGGAATACATGGAAATGGCAGGTAAACTGAGCAGCTATTTTGTGCCTATTTTCTGTGTACAGCATACAGACAACACAGAAATAACTATGCATTAAGAGTTGAAACAAACTTAAAACAATACCAATTAGCACAGAAAGGGTACTGAGAAAATTACTGGAACTAAAAGATGACAAGGCCCCCAGCCTAATATCTTCATCCAATAATATTTTAAATTAGCAAATAGTTGATGCATTAGTTTTGATTTTCCAAGGTTCCCTAGCTTCTTGACGCATTCCACCAGATCAAGACAGCAAATGCAACCCCTCTATTCAAGAAAAGGAAAGATACAGAAAGCACAGAAGTACAAGCTAGTTAGCATAACATCAGAAAGAGAAATTGCTAAAATTTATTAAGGTGGTTTATAGCAGAGCACTTAGAAAACTTCAATGCAATCAGGCTGAGTTAACATGGTTTTATGCAAAGGAAATAATGTTTGACTAATTTATTGGGATTCCTTGAGGAAGTAACAAGTAATCTGGTTAGGGGAAACCTGGAACTTAAAAGGCATTTGATCAAGTGCCATACAAAGGGTACCACACAAAATAAAAGCCCACGGTACAATTTATTAGCATGGGTAGAGGATTGGTTAATTAATAGGAAACAAAATAGGCAGAAATAAGCCATTTTTGTGTTTGTAAATTAGAACAAGTCGAATGCTAGATCCATACAGGGTCCTCAGCTATCTACAATCAATGTCCAATGACTTGGATGAATAGACTGTTTGTGGTTACTAATTATGACATAGCTTATTCTGTTATTGTTGACTGAAGTTATTAAACATTATATTACTTACTTAGTGTGAATAATGCCATGCTTCAGAATAATGATCCCTCTTCAGTTGCTCAATTTTTTTTTTGCTTGTTTCATTAAGTTTACCACCTGGTGTCATTTCTCTTGTAAACATGTGAAATTTGTCCCCAAAAATTTGTAAGTTAACAGTTTTATCAAAACTGATCAACATGCCATTTGAACCAATGAGTTCACGAAAGTTAAAAGATCCTCTCTTAGAAAAACACTTTCATGCTGACACAGGTTCCATAGGCTGAATTAGTAACTTACAAGCTCTCATTATAGAAAAACCAAATAATGCAGTTCTCAAAACTCATCTTCACTTCAATACTAAAATAGCCTGCCATTTTTTTTTTAAATTTAGAACAACAGATTATTGCTTCATTTCATCTTCCTTCTTACAAACTGAAATTGCATCACCAACTCCACTAGTAAATGCCTGTCAGGCTTAGTAATTCCATTTTAATCTACAGAGCTTTTTCCTAAGGCATGACAATTATTCATTTCTTAAGGAACTAAAACCACAGGTCAGCTATTAAACCAAGCAATGTAAAGCTAAATGAATAATAAGATGTACTCTTCACTGTTTTAGCCTAGGGGACAACAAGCCCAAAACACAAGCAGGTGCCCAAATGTCAAGTTGTGAGCTTCATCTAGAACTTTACTGAATCATGCACCAAGCTTGTAGGACTACACATTTGCAAAATAGTATTAGTCAAACATGACAGATTCCCTGATTGTAAGTTTGGCAGATCTGTCCTTGTAGCCGGTGCTGAAATATCATGCAATGTCTTCATTCTGCTAAATTTTAGCATTTTGTCATTCTCCGACAATATATGGAGAATGAAAAGAAATGAGCCCACTATCCTGGCTAGCATTCACCCTCAAATCCAATGCCACAGGCTTTAAAACTTATGACATACTATCTCCAAATATCTTAACCTGGGTCAAAATGAATTATCAGATACACTGATGGCCCTTTTTAAAGAAAACAGGAAAAGTCAGTCATTTATTAATGATAATTTATGACATGGCCCGTAATTATCTCCCAGTGCCAACAGGAAAACGGGCAAGGCTTTTGGTATAAAGAATACTTCTTGTCAAGAATGAAGAAAACATGAAGCTGAATGATCGTAGACCAATTAAGGAAAAAAATGAACTTTAGAAGAACAGAAATACAACACATTGGTCAGAAAACAAAGTAGTAGCTGATGGTTATTAATAAGAAATTATTGCAGTGATCTCAAGTGGTGGAAAATATTGTTTTTGCCATTTCACCAACCCCCTATTGCGACCTAGATATAAAAGGGTTTTCTTCAATGAACTGACAGTTGGTATTTTTCCGTGGCTCTCGTGTGCACGTGCACTTGCATTTGGAAGCAATGGATGGGAAGCACACACAGACACAGAGAGACATAGAGACACAGAGAGACACAGAGAGAGAGAGAGAGAGAGAGAGAGAGAGGGAGAGAGACAGACACAGAGTGAGAGAGAGAGGGAGAGAGAGACAGACACAGAGTGAGAGAGAGAGGTAGGAACAGCTGAAATCAGGTGTAAGTTAAGATTTCTCTCAAATAATTTTTCACTCATTTACTCAAGATGACAATTTTTTTTTCACAAGGTATGCCTCATTAATAAAACTTTGAAACAAAAACATTGCAAAACATTGCAAAACATTTGACTTGACCATTACAGCATTTGTAACAAATTCTAAACTTTGTCCCAATACAACACGTTTCACTATACAAAATTGAAACTGCCTTACATAGAATGTATTTTGTAAATAGCAAGGCTTATAGACCAAGAAAAATAACATTTCAAGTTGACAATTATAGAAATTGTTCAATTCTGGATGTGACTGAATACATTTTCACTACTCTTGATTTACAACATATTTTCTTTGTAAAGTACACAGCTGGCTGGGTACAGATAATCTCTGGGATCAAACAGGTTCCATTCTGGAGTCTGAGATAACAAGATGTAGAGCTGGATGAACACAGCAGGCCAAGCAGCATCAGAGGAGCAGGAAAGCTGACGTTTCAGACCTAGACCCTTCTTAGTCTATTGGCAAGTGACAATATAAAGAAACCATTCTTAAGTACAGGAAATGTTCATGGGTCGGTGGGTACAGTATTTAAAATTACATTCCCGTACAGATTGCATTTGTACCTCAGATGTTGGTAAATCTGGGATGCCTTGTATTATACTGTGAAGCCCCTCAGGATGAAAGATTATGGCTGAAAATCTCAAAGCAGCAACCTTCCCCATTGTACAGTGCAGCAGGTGCCCTGAACTTTGGTGCATCCCTGAAAAGTGTAGCCCTGCACCTTAAAATATACCAGTCCACAACATATGGTTAAGGACAACTCCTTAAAATGGAAGGCCTGCAAGTTTTGGACAGACCAAAAGGGGCCTTTCATCAAACTGGAACAGTTAATTTTTACCCATGGAGTAACAAAGTCCTGTGTTGCTCAGGATGAACTTCAATTAAACTTAGCCCTTTCTTACTAGAACTTCTTTGCATTGACACTTTCCACAAACAGATGGACAATAAAGTGCCACCAACAGCACTGCCTTAAGTGTTTTGAAATTTCAAAACTATTACCCATCGGTTTTGTTATTCTTCATTAAGATATCAACCATGATCAAATGGTGGAGCAGACTCAATGGGCAGCATGTCTAATTCTGCTCCTTTATCTGATAGTCTCATCCTGGAAACAGGTGGAATTGGCGCAATCCAACGCAACTTGTGAATGCGAATTTGTCCTTTCATTCGTGATATTAAGTTGGAATTTTTCAAATTAAATTCGCCAAACATATTGAAATCTACAAATACAGGACTCTTTTTAAAGACAATCATGTAATTTTGATCTAGTTCTGGACCCGAATAGGGATACTTATAATCCTTGGCTCATCAATAATTTTTTTTAAATGAAACTTCTTTTCTGGAATCATCAGCTTCATTCACATTTTTAAATCTTTTATAGTGGCCTCTTCTGGAACTTTTCCGGGGAAGATCTGTTCTTGGCTTCGTGTTCTCACTGGAAAGTTTTATTGCTCAGTCCGTAGCGATAGAGAAATTAAGAGCGAGCCACATGGTCAGCTCCTCTGACTGAGCAAGCATTCAGCGCTGACCTGAAATGCCAGCAACAACAGGGAAAGAATCATCTAAAACAGGCATTTAACCGTTGTAAAGTGCTCTGGTGTTAAAATACAAAATAGGCACCTTATCATTACTCCATGCTCCTTTGAATTAGAAATACCCAAGGGCTTATTTACATTTGCAAGTTCCTCAAGACCTCCAAATGCTGGCCAAAGCGGACTGAGCAATAAAACCTTCCGGTGGGAATACAAAGCCAACAACAGATTCTCTTTGGAAAAGGTTCCAGAAAAGACAATCAGAAAAGATTTTAAGATGTGAATGAAGCTGATAATTCCAGAAAGGAAGTTTTTAAAAAATTACCGGTGAATCCCAGATCATAAATAGCTATTTATAATAAATTGGCATGTGTGCGTACATTGCTAGTGAGGCAAAACATAAAAAATCAGAAATAACCTGTACTGAATCTGACTTTAGAGAAATAAAATAATATAGCTTTGCTTTGTTGAAACGTATCTGCCAAGACGTTTAAAAACCAAATGACAATAATTAGAAACATGTTATTTCCAAAGCCATTGCAAAACATACTATTTTGAATTATGGCTTAAGCAACCTTGATTTTTTTTGAAAGAAAAGAGAAGGTTGTTACAGTACCACACCCAGCTACCCATCAGCTAGAGGGATATGACTCAGCATGCAAACTGGGTGTCTCCCCTGCTTACACGAGTCGTCTTGGGCATAATGCAGGCTGGCTGCAAGAGATTATAATAACTTGCCTCCACTGAAGAAACTTGTCCAGAGCAAACATCTTCCTCTCAAATAAAAAAAGCCACGTATGCAGTGAAAAATTTTCATTAAGGCCAGTTTTCTCAGATCAGCACCCAAATGCTCTTGCATCAAGTTTGGCAAAAGATGAGGGGAAGCTTGGAGGAAAGCAAAATCTCCCTAACTTTCAGAATTGTCCATGACCAAAAGGCAGAAGGAAGCCTTCAAATCAGGTAGGTTTATTTGTATTTTTCACATTGTGGCTTGATAAACAAAGCATATGGATTTCCCCCACTGGGGCCGAGAGAAGGAAAGAAAGTTTTAGTATTTTCTAATCAGGATATGCAAATATATTGAGGGTGCTTATTTTTAAAGACATTATGAACATAATTAATGTATTACAGCTGTTGCCATGATCCTGCTGAAAAGCTCCAAACCAACATGCACAATCAGTAGAACTGTTGGAACACTAAAAAAAAAAATTTTAATCAATGAATGAGATCACAAGTGAAAACAGCAGGTACAATAATGATAATGTGGCAAACTACCACCAACACAGAATCAGAGAACCCCTACAGTGCGAAAGCAGGCCATTCAGCCCATCAAGTCCACACTGACCCTTTGAAGAGGATCCCATTCAGACTCAGCCCCCCACCCTATCCCCCATAACCCTGCATTGCCCACGGCTCATCCACCCAGTTTGCACATCCCTCAACACTATTGCGAATTTAGCATGGCCAATCCATCTGACCTGCAGATCTTTGGACTAGGAGAGGAAACCAGGGCGGCCAAAGGAAACCCATGCAGACACAGGGAAAATGTGCAAACTGCACAGTTGCCTTGAAGGTAGAATCAAACTCAGGTCTCCGGCATTGTAAGACAGGCATACTAACCACTGAGCTACCGTGCCACCCATGGCCAAATTGTATATGGACTCTCCTGCTGGTCTGTCATGTCCCCATTTCTGTTCATCCCAAATACAATTCTGCTTTGAAATAATTCTACAAAAACTCAAAATCAGTCAGCAAATTAAAAAAGAACTGCAGATGCTGTAAATCAGGAACAAAAACAGAAGTTGCTGGAAGCTCAGCAGGTCTGGCAGCATCTGTAAAGAAAAAAAATCAGTTAATGTTTCAAGTCCAGTGACCCTTCCTCAGAACTGATGGTCCCTGGGAAAATGCCAGTTTATATGCGGAAAATAGGGAGGGGTGTGGGGGAGGGAGTAAACGATAGGATAGAGCCCGAAGAGCCAGAAGAGCAGTTGGGTAGACAAAGAAGTTGATAACGATCTGGCCAGGAGGGTGAATAGTTTGTTAACGGGGACTGTTAGGTGACTAACAATAGGCAGGGTGTTATGGCAGGCTGTGACCCCCTACCATGATACTATACCAGGCCATAACACCCTACCTATCGTTAGTCACCAACAGTCCCCGTTAACAACTATTCACCCTCCTGGCCAGATCGTTATCAACTCCTTTGTCTACCCAACTGCTCTTCTGGCTCTTCGGGCTCTATCCTATCGTTTACTCCCTCCCCCACACCCCTCCCTATTTTCCGCATATAAACTGACATTTTCCCAGCTACCATCAATTCGGAGGAAGGGTCACTGGACCTGAAACATTAACTCTGATTTTTTTTCTTCACAGACGCTGCCAGACCTGCTGAGCTTTTCCAGTAAATTAAAGTTTTTATTTTAGAAAGTACATAAAAATGAAAGTAGCCAAAAGAAATTGGTTATAGACATGAAAAATAGTTTTTAAAAAAAGCAAGGAATTAAGGGAAACGGTGACAACAATAGATAATGTGCACATAACCTAAAACAAAGAATTTGAGTGTATGTGCAGTAACTAGGTAACAGTTCTGTACAAGCTGAACGCATCCCTTCTGGAATAGGATGCTGTGTCAAGCTCAAAACTTAATACATGAATACAAAGTCAAGTACGACAACAGAAGCCATTCCAGCAACGTGTTCCCATCCTTTTGATGAACATATGAAGATCATTGAAAAAAATCCACATCTATTCAGTCATATACCTACACCAAAATTTATAATAAACACTGCCATCTAGTGAAATAACATTGTTAAAGACAGGAATATTTCTGATTCCAGTTCCTGTTCTGAATCACTTAATAAATTAGTGTGTCATAAAGAAGCTAAGAAAAATAGCTTTACCAACTGCAAAAAGAACATATTTCATCATAAACACTACACTCTATATGGAGTTAAAAATCTGGAAAACTTGCTCCCATATTCTTACAAACTCTTCACGCTCCAAACAAAATACATGAGCAGCCTCCAGCCAATTTTCACACAAACATGTCGGCTAAATGACGCACTTTGTCATCTGCCTCTTGCTAGACAGCTGCTTGTAATCAACAGTTTCCCTTCAAAGCAGGTGCAGAAACTCAGCCCGTTTTTGACATTCACAATCAAACCATTTTGAGAGAAGAAAGTTAACCTCCAAACGCTGCTTAAAGGCAAACCAATTCAGATACCCAATACATAGCTGCCACTTTTTCCTCTAGCTTAACAGTCTAGTGACTAATAACCACAAACTCACGAAACATGTGGTTCACTCACACTGCTAGAAGCTTCTAGACATTTTAAAATATAACTTTCAGAAACTGCATTCATAAAAGAAAACACATTTAACTGCAGTTATTGCCATCTTAAAAATTCCAAATTTCAGGAAGTGATTTCAGGCATCAACTTGTGGATGTCCGAATACCTTTCAACTGAGAGTAAGATTCTGAATCATCCAGTCAGAAGGTCATAAAAATCAAACCTGCAAAGTTATAGACCTATGATAGATCATTCTTGTTATTAACATGTTCTTTTACAACAATCTAGTTCATCTCTTCTGAAAAGCAAAAATTACAGCCAGATGCCTGTCTAACAACATATCCAAAAATGGTTCAGTAAATGTAATGAACTATACAGTATCCAATATAACTGCAGTATTTAACATAATTTCATTTGTACAGCTCAAGATTGTTGAAAGTGCACGAAAGAACACATGATCATTCCCAACGTGAATTAAATTTCAAAATAGGCACAAATGATTGACCCTAAAGCATAACTTGCCAGAATTTCATAGATTAAAAATAATTTGTAAATTTAGAAAAACTGTAATCCTCAAGCCAGAGATAGTAGAAGGACGGTCTAGGCCCGAAACATCAGCTTTCCTGCTCCTCTGATGCTGCTTGGCCTGCTGTGTTCATCCAGCTCTACACCTTGTTATCCTCAAGCCAAACTAGTTTTAAAAATTTGCAAAATACCAAAGTGATCAATGGTACATGGTAGAAAATATTTGTGAAATGTACATATAGGAATATCAATGTTAACTACGGTAAATTGCCCATATGGGGTCCCGACTTCAAAAATTCTAACAGAAGGCCCAGTTTAATTTCTCACCTAGTAACACATTCAATCCTAAATAGAAGTGTTATGACTTAAAGTACAAAATCTTCAAAGAGCATTGCGATGGCCTAAGAAAGCTAGATATTTTCGAAGAACAACCCAACACTACGGTAATTGTTCAGAAACAATGGTGTATAAGACCAAGATATTTGGTGTAAATGATTTACTTCAAACTTGAACTAATTGCTTGCTCCCATCGATGGCCCAAGGGTAACTTTTCAACCAGATTTTATGGTGGTCATAAGTGTAATTTTAAAAGTCCATAACAAATTTAATCAAATATACAAACAACTAGTTAAGTAATTGGACATGTACATCTGGAAAGATATACTGAAATAGTAGCTATTTTGGAAAAAAGATGTCTTCAGTGTATGATAAGTAACGTACTCATACACAGAGTACTGCAATGGAACAGTCTCCTTAATGAATTAGTCCCTTGTTTGAAGCATGCCCATGATGATTTGTCATTGAAGGGCCTTTTTTTTTCTAAAAAAAAGCGATGTTGACAAGAATCTGCAAGCTTTGAACTAAAATTTAAAATTAAAGAGAGTTAAAAAATATTTGCTCTTGACCCTTATTGTTCTGACCAAAAAGCAGCTGGTTTCTAACTTATGTGTCAAACAAATTAGCTCAGGCAACATTTCACATTTCTACAGATCCTTTTTGAAAACTCAACTTCACAACAGCAGCCTGAAAATCAGGAACATCAGTCTCTGTTTTGGCTATCATGTCCCACAGATATACTTGCTTATTGTAATGAGATGAACCCAAAGAAAATGGTTCACAAGTTTCAAGGTCAACAGAAACTAAAACGTTATTTTTTGACAGGGATTTTGACCCTGTGGCAATAATGTGTCCCTTTAACTACTACTTGTATTCCTTAACAGAAGTAAGTAAATTCTATAAAGTTGATTCATCTACAGCCAAGACGTAAGTGGCACACCAGCACCTGGGAGCTAAATATCTAGAATAAGTAAGGAACCTTTCTATTTGTGCTCTTAAAGACAGCAATTCAATTCTTTTAGCCAGGTTTCAGATAGACTAAATGCAGCTGAAGGACTTTTTTTCAGGGATTCAATAAGAAAAGCTAAAACGAATTAAATATAAATGCAAGGTAACTGCATAATTTCCTTCAAAGACAAAAACAGAAACTGCTGGCAAAACTCAGCAGATCTGGCAGTATCTATAGGAACAGAGCAGAGTTAATATTTTAGATTCAGTGACCGAAGAGTTTCATGCATCTGCAGTTCTTTGTTTTATATTAATTTTCCTTCCAGTCTTGGTTTCAGGGAGAAGTATTTCCAGATCTTCATTTGCAACAGTGAAAGTTGAGGTCAGGAACTCTGAAGACATTGTCACCCCTCAACTACGTCAAGCAGCAACTGTGTGTTTAAGTGAGGACAAAATGGCCATTCCTGCTCCCAATCCATATTCATTTGGCAGGAATTATTTCTGTAGGTCCCCTGCAATTGCCTCACTGCAGAGTTGCCTGATCCACTGACTAAGGCCATTCCACCAGTTCAAAGTTGATACATGTATAGATGACAATTCCCCGACTGAAAGCTCCAGATGGTCCAGCAACATTGCAGCTCCTTTGGCCACTCTATCCCAGATTGCTGCCTACTGTGCACAAGTAATCAAACACTTATCCATTCATCTGACAATGCAACATACTGCAGTATTAAAGCACCTCACTCTACCACTCCATAAAAAGGTTCAACTTCACACTTCGAACATTTGAAAAACGTTGGCATAGCATATCCATTGCAACAAAACATACATTTATATAGTGCTTTTAAATATAGTACATAT